TTAACTCTTTTAAAATATATAACTGTTAAACTCGTTTAACGCTAAATTTTTTAATTAATCATCTACAACTTAAATATTTTTAAAGGTTACTCGTGACGTTATAACAAGGTAATGCAAGGTTGGAAATTAAAAGTCTTAAGTCGTCCGGTCATCAAGTGAGATGGTCTTGTACACTTGAAATGATGACATGAATGTTAATGAAGGATGTTTATTTAATGTGCTAATTTAATTTAGTTGTAAATATAAAAAACTTTAGGCTCATCAAAATATAAATAAATTCATACTGTCATATGCACTATTAATTTTGTCCTTAAGTAGATTAATTCATCTTTAACTGATAACCATGCAAATTATTTAAATGAATATTTAGAATCTGTAAATATTATGGAATTCTTGTCTTAATTTTAGATTTGTTTTAATTTTATGGCATTGTACTATAATTATGAAGAAAAGTTAAGTTTTAAAAATTTTTAATTAGATTGTTGGCTAGATTAAGGCTTAATTGAAATTTAAAATTATTAAAAAGAATATAATAATTTCTATCTTACTTAACAAATATGTTAATATATCAACAAATAAAATCGTCTTAAATTTTGGGATACTATGGCAGAAGTTTTTGAGGCTTTGTTTTTTTCTAGCATTTTAAATTACTTTTACGTAATTAAATATTTATATTGTACGTTATAACACTGTAACATATGATGAAATGCAGGGAATGTTTCTGCTTACCTAGTGTTATAATTTTTAATAAATTTAATTATGTAGTCATATTTTATGAACTGTTAAATAAAATCATAAGCATTTATCAAATTGCATTTATTCAAATTACAATTTTTTACACATACATATTGAGTATATTATCAACAATTTTAGGGTAGATTCAAATAAGTTGAGTTAACCTAAATATTTTTGTCATGTTATTACAAAAGTTTTATTCAATTTTGATTTATACAGAATTCGATAAATTAACACCAATATGGTAGTCTGTTTTAGGGAGGATACAGGGGACTGGACCTCCCAAAGATATAAAATCATAGAGAAAGGGTAGTAGAAGAGTGAAGTACTACACTACTTTTCGTTAAAAAAATTATTTGGATTAAAATTTTCTAAATATGCTGTTTTACGGAAATATAGTATTATGTTATAATTTTTGTATACAACAAACTTTGCTGTATGTATAATATTTTTTATTTGCCAAATATTATTTCTTACATAGTGACGAAATGATTTATCGTGAAATGTAAGAATTTTAACCTTCGAGGAAAAGTAATTAAATATAAAATAAAGTTATTTTATCCACCATTAAATTATTTATAATTAACAATGAGTTATATAGATTTATTTTACTATAATGTTCCATTTAAAATAATTAATATTTAAAATATTCTATTTGTTTAAAAACAAATGTATTAAGTTAAATGATATTTTTCTGATAAAAAAAACTACTATTTAATATTATGTAACATTAATGGAGAGAGAATAAAAACTTGTCCACATATTATATCAAATCAATAAACAAAATAACTTATTTTAGCAATGCATTTAACTAACTAAGTGTAGGTTATTTTAACTGTCAAATATAATATAAGAACCACTATTTAAAATTAAAATAATACAAAAAAATATTAGTTTAAAACTAAAAAATATTACCTCTATTTTTAGTTTAATGTCTAAAAATTTTTTTCTAATAATATATTTTTTCCGATGAAATAAGTTTATTTATTTTATAAGAAAAAATACCTACAACAACTTATAGCCTATATTGAAACAGATTATTGTTGTCTCTGGTATTATGAAATCTAACTAAATGATGAATTTTTATTTTTAATTATAATCATGAAATAATTTAAAAATATAAAATGTTAACCGAATAAAAAAAAATATAAAATATTAAAAATAGGTGTTCCCATTAAACAAATAAAAGATTAGGTTTTTCATTGTACAGGGGATGAAAAACAAATTTTTAACTACATGGACTTGTTGAGATTTATGAATTAAATAATATTTTCCTTTACAAAAATTAAAGATATTAATAGTTTTTGAGAAAATTCATTGTGTTGTCGTTAATTGATAACTCTGTATAAATCTTGTATAAGGATCTGTAAGACAGTTCTGTAATAGTGTAATTCTAATAAGGTTTATGTTTGGCTTTTTGATGCTTAATCAGCCGGTTTTTTGATATGACCTCGTTAAACATAATAAACTGTAATATTTTGTTAGTAGCGTGCTAATGATATATTCATCTGCATTGTTTGTTGCAATTTAATATAATAAGTTAGTATCCGAGTATAACATGCATTTAACAAACGATATAAAGAGTATATATATATCAATAGTTAATTGTTAAGTAATTTGTTAAAAATTTATGAAATATTACAATCTTATATTAAAATATTTTACTGAAATTTGGAAATTTACAGATTGACAAATTTTTATTTAAAAAAATGTATATTTTTCGTAACATTGTGTGTAATACAAAATAAAATATGAGTCTTACGCAGTGCTCGAATTGAGGGGGTGCGCAGGGGGACGTAGCTCCTCTACTTTTTTTTAAATTTTTTTGCGTACCCCAACTACTTTTTTTATGAGAACGGTGGAAAATACCACCTCTTTTTTCTTTTTTTTAAATATTAGTATGATAATGAAATATAATTTATTAATAAATACTAAATAAAGTAATGAGTAAAAAAAAAAAAAGATCTTCAAAATGCTAGGGACGTAGTTTTCAAATTGTTAAGTTGAGCTCCCCTACTTATTTTTGGCCAATTCGAGCACTGGTCTTACGGAATTAAAAAAATGTATACTTACTAATTAGTCCCTTTATACTTTTGGATATCGTTAAGTTAGAGTTTACAGCAGTGACACACGTAGGAAAATGTTAAAAATGCAGCTGCATTAGGGCCCCCATATATATTTATTTTTTAATGTTACTTTTGTAATAATACTTTGGATTTTAATTTTTTTAAGAAACGAACTTAAACGTAATAATTGTTTTCATGAGATTATTATCTTTTTTTAAAGACAAAAAATTTTTTAGAATGAAAATGAGAACACAAATGATTATAATTTATTTCTCCAAATATTTAATTCTTATAGTTACTATTAGTATTAGGATGATATATTAGTAAATTTTATTGAAGTTAATGTAGTAACTAAACATGTATATACATATAATGGTGTGTATACATAACAAGATAATAAATATATTTTGAAACCCTGGAAATAAGTAATTCTACTACAGATCAGATAAAACTTTTAAAAAATGATGTTATAAAAATCTAGATGTAATAGTGTAATTAACAAAGAATATGGATGTCAGATCTGTTTTAAAAAAAATTTAATTACATAAAGTTATAAGCTAATAAATACTTTTTTGGGGACATAAATTAGCAATAATAATAATAGTTGCAATGCATAGGTGAAATTTAAACAACATTTCTAGAAGTAATAATTTGGTGAGTGATGCCGATCCTCTAAATTATTTATGAAAGATCTCTTAGTTGTTATAAGGAATGGATGAGTACTAGGTACAATCCCTCTTTTTTTTTATAAAAAATTTGGGCATGCAACTTTCGTTGAGAATTTCGAGACACGGGAAGTAGTTATCAGAATGATGGTTGTTGGAATAATTTTCAATTACTATTGTCATTGTAGTTTTGTAACACATCAGTGCCAACTGTATAAAGTTTTTCTAAAGTATATTTAAAATATGAAACAAAGAAGTTCATAATTTCTTGAAATCTTATAAAGTCTGGAACGTGTATTATTCAGTTAAAAACTAGCGATGAAATTGAAATAACGTTTTTGCCTTAATCTATACCAGATTGCGCCTATACAGGCAAAATCTGGTAAGACACTCATTTTCTCAGAAAATTTTGAGAATTTTAAATTTTATTATAGAAAAAAAATATCAAGTTCAAAAAACTCTACAATAATATGTAGTCAAAACCATTATTTTGTTTGTCCCTTTAAGGATAAAAACCCTTATTTATAATTTTCTTAAATGGGAACCCTTATTTCTAACTTTATAATATGATAGAAAAAAAATTACTAACAATTTTGTTCTTATAATTTTTTTTATCCGATTAACCGTTCGTCCGTTACAGCTTGTTAAAGTTAAGTGATTTTAGGCCAAATTTCTATTGTTATTTTACTGTATTAAATACAGAAGTCATTATTTTTATTTGCTGTTGCATTAACCAAATTTTATTGATCAAGTTATGACAGGTAAATTAGCTATAATAATTTACTACGCACTAAATGAGTGATAACAATAATAAATTCAAACCGGGTTTTCGGTGTATAATTAATAGCTAAGTCTATGGTTTTGTAAGACTAAAGGATCTAACAAAAATACCGGTTGCACTGCCATCGATATTATGAAACGTAATAAATGACAATATTTTTTCTGGAAGTCAAAATCTTTAAACAATTATAAAACATAAACGGTTGTTCGGATAAAAAAAATTATAAGAACAAAATTGTTTGTAATTTTTTTTTTTCTATCGTATTATCAAATCAAAAATAGTGGTTCCCATTATTATTATTATATATTGTTTATCCCTGAAGGGATAAAAAAAAAAAATTATTTAACTTCATATTATTGTAGTTTTATAAACTTAATAATTTTTCTCTTTACAAAAATTTTAAAATCTCAATAGTTTCTGAGAAAATAAGTGTCTTGTCACATTTCGATCACTTTGTATAGCTATAATTACAAAATAAAGCGTTTATAATTACTTCTACACTCCAAATGTAAACTTTCTTTTAAAAATAATGGAGTTTTATTGGTTTACCTTTGGTGTACAGAATTGTTTGCGTGAAACTATAGAGAAAGAGAAATTCAAATAAAATGCATTTTATTCGTTTTTAAAAATTATATTAATCATAGAGAGGAAGTACTAGCAAAATAAATGGTCAGGCTTTCGTTTTTTTTTTAAATACATGGTTCTTAAAAGTTAAATTATGTAGTTTATATAACGAGAAAAAATTAAATTTACCTATTATTGTTTTGAAAGACGTCTTCTTTAAAAATGTATTCATTTAAGCTAATTAAACTTTCATTTAAGATATTTTAAACTTTTCCCTATACACGATTTAAATTGTTAAGCAATTATAGCGTATTAAATAGTACATAAAAATAGATTTAAAAATATTAGTTGTATTTATTTAATTTAAACATACAACAAAAACACAAATGGCAAGTAACATTGCACAAACGTTACCAACGGAGTGTAACACAGTACTGTCATTACATTAAGTTTCAACAGCGTTATGTTTACCTTCTAATTATAAAAATACAATATTATTATTATGCATGATAGTATAAAGATACTATGTGAAGAAATGACCAAACTCAATGAAAACAGCTGTTTGATAGAAGTTGGTCACGCCATCTATAACTACTATCATTTGAACAAATACTCTCAAGGCGAATGTGTTATCTTAAAAAATAGTAGGGTTAGTCACGTTGTTCTCAGCATATCATTGAAACTTTAATATCTTAGATGTTTATAACTAATTTTTTAAATTTTGTTTATCTATAGAGAATACAGAAAATTATACTTATTATTTTATCTTTGAAAGAAGTGAACTTAGAATTTTTCTGTAATGGAGGACGGAGAATAAAATACAATTTTTTTGAACATTTAATGTTTGAATTTCTTATCTTAAATACCAAATAATTTATTTGGGATTTAAATTAATGGTAGTCAAAATCACAACATGATTTCTACGACAAAAAAAAATATATTTTGTAATATAAGTTCATGTTTTGTTCGTTTATTGATGAAGTTTAAGAAAGTTTTAAGGGTAAACATTAACATATGTTAACCAAACTAAAAGGCCAACTAAAACTATAATGCTTTTTGAAATGTGAGTTTTACTTTATAAATTATAGACTGAAGTATAGCTTCAAAACAATTTTACTAATTTTTTTAAACTTAATAATCGTATATATTATAGTAAGAATTGTTATTTCTGGAAAATGTAAATCAGGTTTAAATAAAAACCGTGTTTCAATGGCGGAACTATTAAAGGTGAATCCTTATATGAATTTTTATTATTTTTAGTTTTAACTAAAATGGCGGAAAAAATTCCTAACCAAATTTTTTTTTTTTAAAGTTGAATTAAGATATGTATAATGACATACTTAAAGTCTTCATCGATTGGACTTGAGCTTTTTTTTTACAAAAAATTAAAAAATATGAACTTTTTTAATTATTCAAAAAATTTTTAACTTACAAAAAAAAGTTTCGTACAAAAGTTGTTTAAAAGACAATATTAAACCAAAAAAATATCTTATATTTTTTCATTTAAACAAATATTTTTCGAGTTACATTACATTTAATATGAGTACTAAAGTTTATTTTCCAATTTTTTTCAATTTACGGTTACTTTTTATCATATTATACTTACATTAGACACAATGTTATAAATGCATATGTGTGTATGAGTGGGTATATTTATTTATAGTATCATTAAAATGTAGTGTATATTAAGATACAACCGATAGAGTAGGTAATTGATTTGACGCTATATTGTTTAAACCCAACTAAACGCTAAATTGTACATTCCCAAACAACAATTACATTATGTCAATTGCCACCGGAATTTTTGCTAATAATAAAGATAATTGTCATAAAAAGGCCTTTAGTCAATCGTGGATTAGATGAGAGAAAATAGACTTAGATGATTTAGTCATGTTATGAGGAGAGAAGAATCGGAAGCTGTAAGAACAGTTATAGAAATGAATGTTGAAGAAAGAAGAGGTAGAGGAAGACCAATAAAGAGATTGAGGGATGTTATTGAATGCGATATGAGGACAGCTGATGTGAGCGTAGAAGATGTGGGAGATCGTGTCAAGTGGAAGTTTAGGATGAGGGTGACCGACCCCAAGTAGTTGGGATTAAGGCAAAGAAAATGAAAAAGATTAGCAGAAATTCTTGTGGCAATTGACATAATATAACTGTTTTTAGCGAATGTACAATTTAGCGTTTAGTTGGGTTTAAACAATATAGCGTCAAATCAATTACCTACTCTATCGGTTGTATCTTAATATACACTACACTTTAATGATACTATAAATAAATATACTCACTCATACACACATATGCATTTATAACATTGTGTAAAATGTAAAAAAATGTAAAAATGTAAAAAAAAAACTTTTCGTGATTACTATAATTTACAACCATGGGATTAATAACATGATAAGTAATTTGATAAGGCAATTATTACTTATCAGTCTCATTGAAAAGTATAAGCCATTTTCATGGAAAAAGTTACACACCTCCAAATTATAGAAATCACGAAAAGATAGTGTTTTATTCTGTCCTTTTCTCAATACGTATTTCAATTAGAGATGGAAAGTTTAGTTCATTTCTGTGAATAGTTCATTAGTTCATAGTTCATTCAAGTGAATAGTTCAAATGAACTATTCTTAAGTTCACTAATTTTATTGATCATGCTGATATTGTTTGGCAATGAACTATTCATTTTATCACTATTAGTATAGTAGTACACAGTTCATTTGTAGTTTACACTACTTATGGGCAATTAAGTTATAAACTAACCCTTAACCTGAACATCATAAACTAAGAAAAAATTATTATCAATACCCTCATGGCTCATGTTATCATTATCACCTAATTCAAGGTAGATATACTGACCAGTAGTCCTAAGTTAAATCAGAAATCTGATCTAATATTTGTACATAGTATGAATTTATTTTATTGTTAAACAGTTAAAAACCGTGTAATATTTAAACAATATAATTTATTTGTTATCTAATTGTAAACAGCTATTAACCATTTCCAGTATTTCGAACAACGAACCACAGAGAATTTTTAAAGAAGTTCGCGAACTATTTCATTTATACATTGCTACCAATTTTTTTCGAACTATGAACTGTTAAGTTACAGGTACTGAAACAGTTCAGAATAGTTCATCTAAGTGAATAGTTCAAATGAACTATTCGTTCACGAACTTAACATCTCTAATTTCAATGTTTAATACCGTAAAATAATACATGAAAATTCAAATTTTCACAAACTTCAAAATGCTACACAATATTTACTATTGAATATTAATAAGATATTTTTTTATTAAAAATTTTCTTAAATTCTACTCTACAAAATAGTTATCTTAGATTTTTTTTTTACATTTTATTTAAAACTTAAAAATAATTAATATTTTTAATAAAATGTAAAAAAATTAATTATTGAGATATAGCTATAGACCTAACGTATAACTATTATTTAAAAAAAAAAATCAGCTAAAAATATTAACTGGATCAAAAGTTATTTAAGTTGTCAGTGAGTGCTGGGCCAGCCTGTATATTACTGTATAAAAAAAATAAAGTTATACCATTCAAAGATATAAGGGATGAACCGAAATAATACTTAATAATTGATAAATTAAGTAATATACGTAACTAAAAAATCAAAATTTTCATTTTACATTTTACATTTTGTATATATTTTGCAAGTAATTGAGTAATTTATGATAAGCGGATCATTATATAGCATGATCAGTAAGTAAGGATTGCTTTTTATTGTTATTGTTCTCATTGTTTATAACAATTTACCTGTTTCCATAACTACTGAGCATTCTATACAGGGTGTTCAGTAAGTCAGGAAACGGGTTTCTATTGTTCTCATTGTTTGTAACAATGAGAACAATAGATACCCGTTTCCTGACTTACTGAACACCCTGTATAGTGATCCGCTTATCATGACTCAATTACTTGCAAAATATACATAAAATTGAAAATCAAAATTTTGCACTCTGTATATTGAGCTATTACTTGTTAACGTAATCATTAAAATTAAAAAGTTGCTAAATCTCCTGTGAATAAACATCTATTGATACATAATCACTCTATAAAACCATACAATTTATTCAAAAAGGAAAAAATTACCAAAAGCTTATTATAAGGGAGGGAATATATAAAAATGTATACGCGATTTTTAGTAATTTTTGTAGCTTTTTAAATTAAATATTTTTAATATAATTTTAATTTTGAATAATAGACACAACTTATCAATTTTTATTATATACCCATAAGATATTTGCTCTTGCTGCACTATTGCCGTGTTTATTTTATATTATAGTAATAATTAATTCAAAAAGTACAGTAAAAATATTATTAACAAATAATCCTATTAATTTTTTCATAAAGTTTAACTTTCCAAGACCAAAATTGTAAAGGGACTATAACAGTATACTATTATTTGTGAAAGAAGCATAATATAATTTCTTTTTACTTCTACAATAATAATTAACTTTTATCTGAATATTCATTTTTTTTTGTAATTTAGGTCTCCTAAATTTTTTCATTTTAAATAATTACTAACATTTCCATGATAAAAATCAGTTATATTTTACCAAATAATTATTATTTGGACTATTTAAAAAATGACCGTCATTATATAAAAAGGTAACTTTACTTGTAAATTCTATATAAGTATAGTTGAAGTTAGAATTTTTTAATAAAAAATTTCTAACATTTTTTCGATTATCAAAAATTAATAATGTTGATTACTATCCAAAATGGAAATTTCATAAAATAAATGAATAAAATTGTTTTTAATGTTAATTTGAAAATAATCTATTGATAATAATGTTTGCTATCAGTCATAATTAGATTTTGGATTTATTTGCATTTAAAAATTAAATGAACTTAATTATAAAAAATCCTTGAAATATACATTAAATTATGTTGTTAAAATTAAATTAAAAAAAACCCAGCACAGTGAAGTCGCGGCATAGTGGGGACGTTGCTTAGTTGGGTTCAGTATAGATTTAATCTGACAGTGATTAAAATCACTATCATAAGAAACGCTTCGATGCAAATCAGTAGATAGTGTTTAATTCTAAGAAATTGGTGGATAATTACAAAAGCTACATTATCTGCTAGTTTCTTATTAATACCCTGATTAAGATAAAGTATGTCGAATGAAAAAGGGATTATTAAAAAATATTATTTCTCATAAAAAAATTGTGTTGATTCGTACACTTTTCAATGAGTTATAGCATTATAAAGTTAAAAATGTAACCAACCCAACCCAACATCAACTCCTATTTCCTTAATTATATCCAGATTAGTAATTATTTTAATTATATATTATATAATTTTTATAATTAATTATTTTCAAATTATTATTGATTTTTAATATGTTAAAAGTAATCATTTTGAACCTACTTCTTTTTGTTCTTTAAAGTGAAAGTTTTAATAAAAAAAAAATGAATTTATTACCATAACTTTTAAC